ACAATTTTCTCGAATATGTTGTACTGTGATAACACCGGAGCCGTGGCACAAGCTAAGGAGCCGCGATCTCATCAGAAGTCGAAGCATATTCTGAGGAAGTATCACGTGATCCGAGAGATCATTGATAGAGGTGAAGTTAAGGTAGAACGAGTCACCTCGGAAGAGAACGTAGCAGACCCCTTCACGAAGCCTTTACCAAGATCGGTCCATGAGAAACATCGAGAGTCGATGGGATTGCGGTTTATGGGTAGTTGGCTTTAGGTCAAGTGGGAGATTGTTAGAGTAGGTGACCAACAAGCCAACTTGTGGCTGTGGTCTTTCGTATTTATTATTGTAATAAACGAACCTTTATTCGTATTAATGATAAAACACATTGGCATTCTATATCTTTGTCCCTTTGTCACAAGCATAGATATAGTCCTTACAGTTATTACAAGTACTAGTAATTGATCGTTAGGATCGTGAGATATTTACTTAAGTATTATAACTGTTAAACGTGTTCCTAGTCGAAGGGTTACGCCACTAATGAGGATATCGGCCTTTCCCATTAAGACTAGCACTTAGTGTATGTGTACTGCATCTCATCAGTAAACGGTATTGTGATATCGGCATGCATAAGTGGGTGCTCGTAAGTTGACGAGTTCACTGAACTCCCTCACCCTAGAAATCTCTAAGTGGTTCCCAATAATCGAGTAGAGATATCTATGGTATAGTTGTACACCATTAGTCCTTATGACCTAGACATCACCGTGACTTCACTAGAGGACCAGCTGTATCGTGACCTGTCCCTGAGTTCCACCGAGGACCATCCCAAGGGCCAGTGTTCGTGCAGTCCGAAATCTAGTGGGAGGTCTGTGCATTGTAGTCGGGGATTCGATCGCTAGAATAGTCTTGGATGTCCTGTGTGTTCTGAAAGTTTGTATTCATTCTAAGTCTCTGGCCAGAGCTGACTAAGTGATGATTAGAGAATTCGATTCTTTAAGTCATGCACGTAAGGATTACAACACTTAGAACGATCGCACCGTTATTGAACATATAAAGAGGTCTCGATGAACCAATGCCTCTAGTTCAATCGGGACATATGAATCGAAGGGACCGTACTGTACGTTAACTATATCTGAAGGTTCTTGCAGGCACTTCATTTGTATCTAGGGAATCATGACGCGTAGTTGCTAGACGCCAATCTTGATTCGTTGGGTGATTAAGGTGAAACGAGCTTCATCTTGATTGTAACTCGAAGGGGACGAGTTTTGACCACAAAGAGTTGTGGGCCCACGGCTGGCTTACACCTGAACCATCGAGGGTCACACTGCTCGTGCACATGAGATCTTTGAATAAACGGTCAGAGATAAAATAGTTTATCTTTGCATAATTGGAAGTCAATATGATTGAGTCCAACATTCGTAATTTGGAATTATGAATGAGAATAAGAAAAGGAAAAGAATAAGCGAACATGTTAGTGAACTTTCTAAATCGGGAAGTTTCCAAATTTAGAAAGTCCACTGAACTAGGGTTTCCACTTTTGGAAAGTTGGAAAATAAGAGATGGCACTCGTAATGACGAGAAAATTATAATGACTCGGAAATTGTAATCGTTACAATTTTTCGATCATTGAATTGAGAGATACGAGCGATTAAAGAAACTAACGAGCTTAAGCTGTTGGGCCCAGTCCAACTTAAGCCCGCTAGGGTTTCATGCTAGGGACTATAAATACATGATTTATAACCCTAGCACACATACACAAAACAACAAAAACCCTAACCCTAATCGGCCACCCTCTCTCTCTCGGCCTCTCTTCCGCGCGGCCACCACCGCGCCACCACCGCCGCTCCGTCGCCGGAAACGGCCGTTCCTCGGCCGGCTTTTGTTCGGTATTCTTTCTCCTTTATTTTCTTTCCGTTTTATTCTAACTACTTCGTGTCTAGTGCCACGATTTAGTAGATCGAAGTATACGAGGTGAAATCCGAGAGGAGGAAGACCGTAGATCGAAGAATCGAGGAGCAACGCACGAGCCGAAGCCGCACGCTGCCCCACGCGCCGCCTCGCACAACCGCGCGTGCTGTACACGCGCCGCCGTGAGCTGCCACACCGCCGCTGCTGCTGCTCCATTGCTGCCCCGATTCTACGGATTGGTTTCCGTAGTAATCACGACGAATCGTTCGCTCCTACCTCACGCGTCAAGAGGTAAATACTCGAAACCCTAGTTTTGTTTTAGGGTTTAATTTAAACTATGATTTCATGCTTGTGTTTGTATGATTTTATGTGATTATGTGTAATCGATTAAATCGTTGCGAGCATGTTATTTGGTTTAAATTGCGAGCATGTTAATTGATTTAAATTCGGTTAAATTTATTAGCATGTATGTTGTTTTTAATTTCGCTGGAAGCGCAAAGGTACGCAATTAATTGATTTAATTTGTCGGGCATGTACTTGTGTGCTTTAAAGTGGTTTAAATCACGTAAAATTTTTGTTTTCCGCTGCGTATGCGTGCCCGAAACCCAACACCACGAAGATAGCGTGT